GGGTCACCCGCACAGCACACAGGGACAACAGCAGGGTCACCCGCACAACGCACAGGGACAAAGCTCAGTCACTCCCTCAATGCTGTGCAGAGCTGCGTTATCCGGTGGGCTGAGGACTCTGACGGGGAAGGGTCACGTGCTTTGTCTTACACTGATTCCGCCCAGGCTGGTGCAAGAAGGCAAGCAGCAGCAAGTGGCTTTCACTGGCCAGTGGATAGACACAGGGATCTGATATCCTCTGGGTAAGGGTGGGGACCTCCTTTATTTTATATGGAGCTGTGGTGACAAAGCACCACTAGCAGGCAGGCCAACAGCCCACTTGGGATGCGGTGGTTACCTGGTTGTCAGGAAATGCCACTGTACTTCTCAGGAGACCCCTTACCTCATTTGCTGTGTTGTGCGTTCCCACGATTCGGATGAAGGATGCAGGCTGTCTTTCAAAAGTGACTGACTGCCAGGACCTGTGGGAAAACAACAATTTGCCTGGTTAGCTGGTCCTCTTGGCCCTGCTGACGGCAGCTCCTGTGCCAGGAGCTCCAATCTACGATGGGATAGGGCTGGAGAAGGGGCAGGGCTTCCCTACGATGTGACTGAAGGAAGCAATAAATGCAGCATCCCGTTTGGGCATCGGCCATCTTGCCAGAGAAGGCACCGTTACTGTCTGTTAACTGTGACGTAGGGTGCATAGCCATCAGGAAACAAAGTATGACTGTGGACATGTGTGCCTGGTGACAAGAATATGGCAAACGTACATAATCAAGGGTGGTGGGAGTTTATGACAGAGATGTCTTTGTCACAGAGTGGGCGGGGCTGGGCGGGCCTGCCTCACTGGGCTGCTGCTGGCATTGGCAGGTAAATTCAGCACGTGGCGAACCTGAGTCAGGGGTAGGGTGGCTGTCCCAGAAGCTGCTGGGAGGAGAGTTTTGAAACAGGATAGGGAGAGAGGCTGGGCAGAACAGGATGAGGCAGGTTCTATACTTGAGCTTGGAGATGCAGGGGTCACTTCTATGCCAGGGCTGGCCCCCAGGCAGGCAAAAGCATGGCAAGCCTCCAATCTTTGCTGCTTGCAGACACAGCCCCACAGGCATCCCTTCAGTACTGGCCCAGCTCTGGCGGCCTGTGGTCTCAGTGTTTTACTTTCTCCTCCTTCTCCCATGTGTTGTAGTCCTTTGGTGCACACACTCATGAGTGTGCATGCCCAGGGGTCAATGCCAGACTTCCTCTGTCGCCATCCACCTTACTGTCTGAGATGGCTTTCACTGTGCCTAGAGCTTGCCTTCTTCAGCCAGACTAGCTCAAGCTCCGGAACCCACCTGCCTCCTGCATTTCCTACAACATCCGTGCAGCTCAGGTGTGCACTGCTGTACCTGGGCTTTAAATGGGTGCTAGGACCCAAGCTCGGCTCCTCAAGGTCGAACGGCAAGCATGTCACCCACTGACTGTCACCATCATACCAGCTACAACCCAGACAGGCAGTTTAAAGACAATTCCTCCTCCTGTCTGGGCTGAGCTAGCTCACCTAGAAGCCACCGCACGTGCAGGGAGCCCTGCTCCTGGCCTGGCACTCCCTGGCTCGTGGGCATGCACTGTGCCTGCCAGCTCAGGTCCTATCGTCCACCACGCATGTGAGCAGCCCACGGCCGCGGCCGTGCCTCCTCCCACTGTAGAACTACCAGCTGCCGGGAAGCTGTTTCCTGTAATTGTCTAATTACCAAGTGATGCTAGCAACGGAAATGGATGGATCTGCAGTTTGTTTTTCCCCATTTGGTTTCAGGTGCTCCATCTTTCCTCTCACCGAGCGCCTCCCACTGAGCCAGACTCACTGCTGCCTGGACACCAGTCCTCTTAAGGTCATTAAAAAGTCATTACCATCCTGTGCACAAAGGTTCTGCCTCTGGAAGCAGGTTTTTGAAAACAGAGTAAGAAAAATTACTCTCTCTATAAAAACACTATTACTCAACGCATAAAGACAACTCACCTGCCCTCCCCCCACACACACCTCACTGCCCTGCTTCCCAGAGAGTGTGTATGTGTGTGTGTGGTGGGGGGGTCCTCACTTTCCTAGACCCTAAGCTCTCAGGGTGCCTGACGGATGGGGCACTGCACGTGGGTAGGAGGAGTCTGTATGGCTGTGGGGTCCCACAAGTGTGCCTGAGCCTAGCATCTAGGGGCTGTGCAAGGCACCAGAACCCTGGCCTCAGGTCTAAAGGAGGTTAGGGTACATGTTCCAGCTGGCCAGGAATGGGGATACACAAGCCGTAGCCTTCGTTGGGTTTGAGTCAGAGGATAGGGTGGGAGAGAGGCAGAGCACAGGGGACATTTCTAGGCCTGCACCTGTCATTGGTACAGAGATTTTGGGTTTAAGATAGATTATATGTAAACCCTCCCAGGCCTCAGAGAACACAGGGCTCCAAGCTTGTAGGCAGGCCTACTGTTGGGCCTGTGCCCCTGCCACAGCTCCTGAGTGAAGGCCTCTGAAGTGTCCTTGGCAGACAGGTGCCCTCTTCTCTTCCTTTTGGGCTTTTGTCTGGCCTGGGGCTCTGGGCAGGGCAGTGGCTGAGCAGGAGGGAGCCGGAGTTTGTGGAGTAAGAAGATTAGAAGGTCTCAATTTCATACCAATCCTCCATTACACTGCATTCGTATCTAATCACATCAGACTTCATTCCCACTAACACGGCCTGAGAGGTGAATATATCATCTCACTGCACCAGAACCAGACACCAATCCAGAGTGCAAAGTGGGAAGGAAGCCCACTCAGGGCACTCAGAGATGAACGCCCCACCCCACCCCTCACCAGCTTCCAGAGTGTTCACTAGACTTTGTCAAAATAACTTCTGTCAATAATCCCCATGAGGAAACGGAGTTTGGAGTGTCACTCGAGCCTTGTTTATAACTGCTGCATGACCCCAGAGGACACTGCTTGGAGTGAGATCTCATAGAAGCAAAAAATGCAGCACCATGATACCAGAGCAGCCAAGGCTGTGGCCATTGCCATAGGCTTCAGAGACAGCTGCTTCATGGCCACCTTCACACACTTCCTGAGCAGCACATCTCAGGAAGGGACAAGATGGCTCCCCCTAACCAGAGCCAGGATGATGGACAGCGATTCTTTCCAAGATTAAACCTTCACTTTGGAGGGAAGCTCTAAGTTCTATGGGACAGTCCATCCTCAGGAATGGTCCTTAAGCTCAGGAAGTGACCAACTCAAAGGCTTCAGGAAATCCCTGAAACTGAGCAGATTCAAAAGGTCCCTCTCTCCCTGAGTGTATAAAATCAGAAAGAACTAATCTGAGACACTTCCTGAGTAGAAGACTCGGCTGCCTGGAAGAGCCTGAGACCACCTCAGCTGTCTGGAAAGGACACTCTCCAACCTGCTGAGCTGCCCACTGGCTGTGTGGTAAACTCCAGGCTCCCAGCTTTGTGAGCTGGCAACCACTCTGGGGTGGGCTTTGGTGATGCAGCTGTCTTTGAGCCATTTCTGCTCCTGTAGTAACCCCAAATAAAACTCACTGGTTCACCATGTTGGCTTTGGTGGTGTCCTTACTTTGGTCTGCCATTGGTCCCCTGTCTGGGGTGAGGACACACTTGTTCCTGTGTCCCCAGGAACAGCATTGCATTATCTAGGCTTGGATGAAGGATCCGAACAGGAGCAATGGGCCAGAAAACAGATGTGCTCTTCACTTGAGATTTCCTAGAAATCAAAATCCAAGCCGGGTGGTGATGCCACACACCTTTAATCCCAGCACTAGGGAGGCTGAGACAGGCAGATTCCTGTGAGTCTGAGGCTAGCCTGGTCTACAGAAATAAGTTCTAGGACAGCCAGGGCTACACAGAGAAACCCCACCTTGAAAAAAAGAAAAGATTCTCTATTGCTCTGTTGGGACAGTGAGATGGTTCAGTGGGTGATGGTGCTTGCTGCTAAGCCTGCAACTCAGTAAGAGGAGGAACTCCTATAAACTCTCCACATGCACATGGGTGTAAGCAACACATGTATATGCGTGCGCACACACACATACACACACAGAGATATTGGCTGAAATAATTTCAAGAATATTTTGTGCCAACTTTGTCTATGTTTGGTAGTGTGCTATGAGGAACTACCAGAGGCCAAGAGGCAGGAAGACGCAAGAGTGTCCCCTGTGTTATCACAGGTGGTGTCTCCGGTACAGAGGCGTGCTGGCGACAGCAGTTCGGACAGCAGAGACTCAGTCTGGGTCCTGGAGCTACGGCACCTAGTTTTGAATCTTAGTTTGAAACTTCTTTGCTTTTTGAAACAGTGTCTCTCTGTGTAGTCCTGGCTGTCTTGGAACTTGTTATTTAGACCAGGCTGGCATTAAAGGTGTGCACCACCACTCCCAGCCTCAGTTTGGATTGCTCAGCCTGTCTGGGCCCTCGGTGTTCTCATCTACAAAGTGGGAATGCCAGCGGTCTAAGACATTTCTGTGTTAGCTTTTGCTAAGGGCTAAAGAAAGACGGAAGCGGGCAGCACAGAGCTTCCCTCCCTGTACCTGGTCAGTGAACTATCAAGTTCCGGCCTCTCGGTAACCAAGGCTGCTCCTCTCAGCACCCACTTCTCTGAGGCAGACAGGTGGCTAGGCTTCAGAGAATCGAAATGTATTTATGAATGCATTCTTGAGCATGAGCCTGCCGGGTGTCCAGGGGTCTGTGCACAGACAGTGTGGCCCGTATGGCACTTAGACCTTCACTGGGGTGGTTAACTGTCCCACAAACTAATTGAGAAGAATGCAAACCGCACCGTGGTCCCGACTCACAAACTGCTGTTCCAAAAACCCACTCATGACTTGTGCAACACAAAGCAATGTTTTCAATGAAACAGCTATAAATGTTGATGAGGTTCCCAGGCCCACCCACAAAACTCAAAACCAGGCTAAAAGACGACACACGAAGCTTTAGGAAGGGAAAGCGATGATGTTGGCACAGCGCTGACTAAACAAGTCAGAAAACAAGAGATTAAGACAATCTTTCTAAAGCCCCTGCTGAGGAGCGAGGATACAAACCATCACGAATATCAAGTCGGGGATCTAAGATGGGGCCCAGTGAGAGCCCATCAACATCGAAGTGTGGAGAGTGTGGGTCACTGCCACTCTGTCACCTGGCTCCTGACAGAAGCCTCTGGGAACAAGGCAGTGTCGTAAACCCTGTAGAGAGCTGAGGACACTGAGGTAGGACAGGATAAAGAAACTGGAATATTCTGGCTGCAGATTTACAGTCAACAACAGAACTAGGACCTAATCGTAATTAGTTTGTCTTTGTCCACCAAAGGGCACAATGACAAATTTTCAAGTGCCTTTGTGGTTGGAGCACTAGCTAACCCCTTGGTCTTATCTTGCTGGATATCACAGAGGTCTGAGCCATGCACTCATGTGCATACACACACACACACACACCCAGACACACACAGACACACACAGACACACAGACACGTCACTAGCCTGCTGGG